CCTTACCATTTTGATTTCGGTTTTTGCGTATATTCTATATATTGAAAAACCAAACGGTAAACCGAATTAACCAAAGTAAAACTAATTTAGCTTTTTTTTAGAGAGACCATAGTAAGTCCCAAAAGATCTTGCAATGTAGTTTTTTTTTTGTACAAGAACAAGATTCCCTGCTAAGCACATCCATTTTTCTCTACAAAATGCTAAGCACGTCGATAAACAAAGGAAAGTATACATTGCACATTTGCATGCATGAAAACCATCCAGGCATGAATCCATGCATGCGTATATACTTACTTATATAATGTTTGCATAAAAAGTGTATTTTGAGTCTTAAATTTGTAAAATATTATTGTGTCATTTTCAAATTCACGTCAACTTCGGTTATTATGGTATATACTGAAATTATATCACGATAATTTGATGTATACCAAGATCGAACTGTATTTTACTTTTATACCATAGTTACTGAAGTATCAATATCTTACAAATTAGAAAAAACATATAAACCAAACCATATAAACAGAATGCACGGAGAGGGCTTTCCCTTAAAAAAGGGAAGGTGTTGCATTGATATCCTCGACGACAACCTTGCAATCAGATGCAACGTAGATGCTCGTTTCATTCATATATGTATTAACCCCCTTCTTTAAATTAGACGTGGCAGATGCGGAATGAACTTCTAAAACAAGATCGCATGAAAGCAATTCAAGAGGAATTGGCGGGATTCTTTCTTGACCACGTCATCAATAAAGCTGGAGAATACCATGTGGAAGTTGATTTCAAATGCTAGGGGATTGTAAGAGATCTTACATATTGTATATGTATGTAGCCAGTAGCATCGGATAGATAATACGAAAACTTGTTGTTCGACCAATCTCTCGGAGAAGGAGAGGTCGATCATCACTTCTCTCGGTATGCATGACAAACTTCTGTACTTAATGGTTCCCTTCATTTTCTTACTAGCTAGCGTGTCGAGGGCCTCTCTATGTACAATACGTAGCGTCGACCAAGCACGGACATAAGAGAGGACACTTCTCTCTATTGATTAGCTAGCTAACAC